TTCGTTTCCAACATTTCCAACAGGCCTTAGGATCTCAGGGTAAGGGGAAGGGATGTGGAGAGATCAGTGTTCAGAATGATCTGTACTAAAGGTTCTTAATAGATGTATTACGTTATTTATTGACAGGTCATAATATCCATAAAATCAACTGGTTGATAACAGAGTTTCCTGCAATGATTTAACATCCATGGTATTTAACTGCACAAAAGTTGCTCCAAATGACCTTCAAAAATAGTGTCAGAAATCAGCTTAAATCCAAACCTTCTTAACACAGCGTGAGAGTCCAACTGCGACTTGAAGCCCTTATGTCTTTGTTTATTGGTTCTTTGTTGCATTGTTGTCTTTCAGTTTCTCAAAATTTTTGTTCTTCAGTAAGCTGACTTCCCACTTTGAGATCACATTAAGTTACTGTTAATAATTTTCTGTCAAATAATGTATTGTTCATTTCATGCAGCCAAGCTTACTAGCAGTTTCAAACCACATAACTTTTGCAAATCCTAAAGCACCTGTCTATCCCCGCCTTGCTCAAGGAAAGTCTTGGAATGAAGTAAGTTCATGGCTACTAGTGGTTTTGGAAAACTGCTTCTTTTTTGTTTATGTTCTCTGTTTAAATATTTCTGGTTGAGCTTATTTATCTGTTAATTATGCAATCTTGTAGCGTAGAATGTGCAACTTAAGTGAATTTACTTTCTTTCCTTGAGATATTGGGGGTTTTTTCTTTTCTTTTTGGCGTGATACATAGAACTATTTATGTTGCTTGATAAGAAACTGCTCATTTAAAATACCCAAATTGGCATGCATAATGATTTTTGTCACATTTTGCTTAATGGGATTTCAAGAACTGGAGTTTAACCATTCCTACAGCCACCCCCACCCTTTCTCTACATGTGCAGATGACAGTCACCTGGACAAGTGGCTATAATATAGATGAAGCCATTCCATTTGTTGAGTGGGGATTGAAGGGTCAGAACCAAAGGCGGTCACCAGCAGGGACACTGACATTCCAACAAAATAGCATGTGTGGTATGAAATCAGTTTTGATGTGCTTGCTGGTATCAGTTCTTTATGTGGAAAATTGTGATCTTTCTTAAACCTTCTTTGAAACTTGAATCAAGATTGACAGATGGTCTAATGGAAATTGATTGGGAACTATTCTTGGTTTTGTGACCAGAGCATCAGCACATTACTTGTAGAAATTGAAAGTGAGATGCATAAGATGAGACAGTAATTCATGATGATATAAGAACTAATGGAGTTATCATAACACCATAAAGTTATCAACCTCTGTAATGCAACTTATTGTTGGTTTGGAAAATTCCCAGATTGATTTGTTATGTTGGAGGCCTTTGGCTTCTGAGTTTTCAACCTAGATGATTTCAAAGTAGGAGTTAATAATACTTAATAATCATGTCAACTATCTGGGTTTTTCATTTTGTCTCAACCATGCGCATCCATTGTCCTAACATCAAATGCCAGATTAACTGAGAGAGTCAATGCATAGCTTATAAAGTACTCTAAAATGATGTGTAGGTTCACCTGCTAGGACAGTTGGCTGGCGTGATCCTGGTTTCATACACACAAGCTTCTTAAAGGACCTGTGGCCAAACACTCTGTGAGTTTTTTCCCCAAAGTCTGTTTCTTTCGTCTAAGTTCAGTGACATGTACATATCAACATTGACATGTGATAAATATTTTTCAGGTATTCCTACAAAATGGGTCACCTATTACCCAATGGTTCATATGTTTGGAGCAAGGTATACTCGTTTAGATCATCACCTTATCCAGGACAGAACTCATTACAGCGCGTAATAATATTTGGAGACATGGGAAAGGTAAAAGACTTGCTTTAGCTATATGATCTCTTGCTATATACTGTCCTCCAGTGCAAAGGCATGGAACGGGAAGATAAATTTAGAGAATGAAATTAATTAATAAATTGGATCTTTTACAAAATCAATTATTAAGGATAACATTAGGGCATCTACTTCAACTTTTAGTATCAATGGAGGCCTGAAGAACTTGATTCATTAGTAAACAATTATTTGTATGAAGTGTAAAAGGTTTCCATTGTGCAATCCTGTTTATTGTAGGAAGCCTTATCCCAAACCCTTTTTTCTTTCACATTGATTCCTTTTGGTAAATTATCCCTGGATTTCAATTCGTAAGAATATCATCCACATATGGATGCTTACCTATTCAGATATGTATGATCCTGATCTCCATGAACTCCTGCAAACTGGAAAATGCAGAGATGCTAGCATCATCACTTGTAACTTGAAATGTTTTGTTGCAACTCCTATTAGAGTTGCTCTTTTATGCATTTGATATTGTTTTGGTGCACATGTTGACTTAGTTAACTGCTTCGAGCTAAAAAAGTTGACATCTATTAAAAAATCCCAAAAAAGTTCAGAGTGATTGTATGAGATACACTTCATTGAAAATGATCACATTGTGTTTTCTCTATACAATCCATTCAGATAGTAAGAAGAAATTCTGTGGCTTTCAGGGAGAGAGAGATGGCTCCAATGAGTACAACAATTATCAGCCAGGCTCACTTAATACCACTGACCAACTGATTAAGGATCTCAATAACATTGATATAGTTTTCCATATTGGAGATATTCATATGCGAATGGCTATATATCACAGTGGGACCAATTTACCTCACAGATTGAACCCATAGGATCTAGAGTGCCCTATATGATCGCGAGGTTTGATCCTTTTACAGTACAATTCTTGTCAGTTTATTTCTATCTATAAATTTGTCAGAAACCTGTTAATACATATTTAGTTTCTTGTAACAGTGGCAATCATGAGCGTGATTGGCCAGGTACAGGATCCTTTTATAATGGCATGGACTCTGGAGGAGAATGCGGTGTGCTTGCTCAGAACATGTTCTTTGTCCCTGCCGAAAATAGAGAAAAGTTTTGGTAAGCTTCAACTGTTTTTCCGTACTAGATATCATAGTAGAAATTTAATGCAACCTGTAGCACAAGGATTTGAAAAATGGTTGTATCCATTGTATGTTTTGTTTGGAAGATATCTGTGGTGTAACAACTTGGATGATTGAAAGTTAGTAAAATTCATCGCAAAGAGCCAGACCAACTCATGACATCTGGTCAAAGTTTCAATTGAACTATTAAGTATTGTTGTAGATGAACTTTTCCCAATACTGTAGTCTTCTTAAGTGGATTGCAAACAATCTAAATGATAATCTAACCATTTGAAGTTTTGGAATTATGATTATGAGTTTTAATCTATTTTGGAAAGTAGTCACCATGTTTGATTTGACAATAAAGTATGTTCTATTTCCCGTGGTTTTGCAGACGTGTACAATGGCTTTACAATAGAAGATTTTAAGCCAAAAAAAGGCAGTCTTTAGTTGAACTTCTTCTACAAAAAATGATTGGATCCTACCATTAGTAGCTATGCTTTGCAATGTTTTGTGGTCTCAGTGAAGTAGGTTTTCTTTGGTCATTTGTTGAAGACTGTGAAGTGACATTTGCATGCATGTACAGGTATTCAACAGATTTTGGCATGTTTCACTTTTGCATAGCAGATAGTGAGCATGACTGGAGGGAGGGATCTGAACAGTATAGGTTCATTGAGAAATGCCTGGCATCAGTGGACAGGCAAAAGCAACCTTGGCTAATATTTGCTGCTCATCGGGTCCTTGGTTATTCTTCAGACAAATATTATGGCATCGAAGGCTCATTTGAAGAACCCATGGGACGGGAAAGCTTGCAGAAGCTCTGGCAGAAGTATAAGGTGGATATTGCCTTCTATGGCCATGTTCATAACTATGAAAGGACCTGCCCAGTTTACCAGGTAAAGTTTTGCTCCGACTTGAAAAAATTAGAATTGCAACAACAATTTTCTCTCGGAGGCCCCTAAACGAAAGTGCGAAATGATTTCTAGATACATGTGAGGACTAATTGTCTTCATTCATCAACTTCAATGGGTTTGTTTGGACTCCTGATTGTTCTGTTGAAAGAAAAAAGAACATAGCTAATCTCCTTAATGTATAACATTAAAAATAAGTCATAGTGCGACTACAAGCCTGTACTATGTTGTATGGAGCTGTTTATAGGTTTAATTCATGTAAAGCAATCAGCACGTGAGCTACTGCTTCAAAATAAGACCAGAACATTAGATGAATTGCCTGTAATCACAGTAAGCATGCGTAAAATTGGAAACTATAGGTCTCTTAATTTGTACATCTGTACCCAACTTTTTCAGTTTGAGGTGACTTGTCATAGTTAATTGAATCACCAATCCTTGATCTCCTGTTACCGTGGAGTTTCCTGATGATGCAGAATCAGTGCGTGAAATCCGGGAGGTCGCACTACTCTGGAGTTGTGAATGGCACGATCCATGTGGTGGTTGGAGGCGGAGGAGCACATTTGTCTGAGTTTACCACAGTTAACACCAGTTGGAGCCTCTATAAGGATTACGACTGGGGATTCATCAAGCTCACCTCATCTAACCACTCCTCTCTTCTCTTCGAGTACAAGAAGAGCAGAGATGGAAAGGTTTATGATTCCTTTACGATATCAAGGGACTACACGGATGTCTTGGCGTGTGTTCATGATGGTTGTGACGCAACCACTTCGGCATATTGAATTAAACAGGTTTACGGAAGGGGTCATTTTGTAGATTGATTTACAAAATAAGCCTCTTTTAAGGCATGTTGCTGCCAAATGTTTTACAGAATAATCCAATTACATTCTCTTTTCCTTATAGCACGCTTGTATCTAGCAGAACTCATGATAACAAGAAGCCACAAGGAATCTAAACAGAATATAGCAAACAAGTTATTATGGGAGCAGCTTGTGGTACAACCATCGTTGGAACACACTAGCACCGGTATTTTAAACAATCATCGCGAGGCAAGCAATGATCTCCTAGTGACAACTATTAATTTCAAAAACAAATAAGTTCTCCTAGCACCAAACTATTAAATTCTCCTAGCGAGGCATCATAGGGTTTCTTCTGCATATAAACGTGTTTAGGCCGCCATTTCCACATCATGGCTGGCAATATCACCATCACCTAAAGGGCCAATTGATGCAAAAAGATGTTCAATTTTCAAGGGAGAGTGCCGGACAATGTACTGGAACATTACCTGCAACATGAAAACCAATGTTTGTTATCAATGTGCACAACCAAATGCTTAAGTGACAAACACAAGGTATCTTCTTGCAGAGAGGAACATCAAAAATTGAAAATCAGTCAAAGAGAGGCCAAAGCAAGATAAAAAAAAAAAAAAATCTAAATATTGTGACCCACCTTGGAGTAACTATCCGCAAATGCACGCGCACGATTGGATTGGCCAAGGTATTGCAAATCTGCCTTCTCTAACTTTCCATCTACAAAACTTAACCCGCCATCATTAACAGCAAAGCGTAAAAGATTTCCAGCATGCAGTCCAGTCTGAAGATCAAAAGAATTATCAGCACCTCAACAACAAAAATACTTTTAAAAAAAATTTGGAGTAACAAATTGTAGTATATTGCAGTATATGGTAAAAGTTCAAGTGGACTTAGGACTGAATTCTAGAGCTTGCACCAAGAATAGCATTAAATCAGTGCAGAAATTGCGTTCTTCCCTAACTTTAAGCAGTACAAAACCTATATGGCTCGGTAAAGCTCAATATGTTGCCATCTGCAACTTCTAGATAAGAATTTCAGAAGGGGATCCAGATCATTATGGAAGCTTTATTTTCTTTCAACAAACACAGAAACTTCTTTGATATTTAAAACACTCTAATGAAACTTAATTCTTCACATTTTATACTCTAGAAATTAAGCTGCACAGATATATCCAAACCTTTTGGATGAAATCCTCATTCAACCAGCCAAATATAACAGAAGGATCATCAGATGTGGCAAGCCTCCCATCATCCTGTAACTCCAAGACCAACTGGTAGAAATCACCAAAGAAAAATTATGCACCAAAGCAGTTTGTGTCCAAACTGATAGAAAAGTAGAACTAAATGATGAAAAGGTAACCCAGAATGACAAGGTTATGAAGTCCAACATTATCAATTTTTTGAAACACTAACCAGCCGTTTGGTTCATGGATTCTGAGGGTAGTCAATGGGAATAACTATTAATGATATTCACTGATGGTGGTGTTTGGTACTCTACTATGGTAATGAAAGACAAACTCTTCAATCATCATTCCTGAGCAAATTGGGCACTTTTGATGCTGATTATCCATTATCCCAAAAAAAAAGCAACAAAAAGATGCACTCCCTTTCCCTCTCTTCCTCTTCTTATCTTCATCCCTACTCACTCACCTGTCCCTCTTTCTATCCCTATCTCCTGTGTAATATTCGTTCGATTTTCTCTACCCATGCTTCTCTGCCTCATCATTGATTACCCAATTCCCATTGTTTTTACCTCTTAGCCCACCCTCTTTCCTAATCCTCTCTTCAACGGGAAACAATGCAAGCCAAGCTAAGGAGATATAGTTAAGGCATGTTTTTCTAATGGTGATGGAGGTAATTGATTTTAAAACATTTAATTGACAGTAGAAAGAGCAATCTTGCTATTCATGGTGGATCAAATTATGGGTAGTAGTTGGTGATGATGGTGGTGGTTTTTCCAGCTTATGAAAATTTTGACAAATAGTTTGCTTTCACTGAAATTGGTAGGGATGATTTGAAGATGGGAAATATTCCAAGTTTGGCAAGAATAGATTATTGATGTTGGTGGCTGTTGTTGTTGTTAGCAATGGCTGACTGGAGGCTGTGCAGCTGTAGAATTTCGTTAAGAAGAAAGAACAAAATTTGGTGAAGAAAACACAGAAATTAATTTTACATATTAAAAAATAATAAGAAAATTCAATAGATTCCCATTGCACCACAACTAACAAAATTTGGTGAAGAAAAACACAGAAATTAATTTTACATATTAAAAAATAATAAGAAAATTCAATAGATTCCCATTGCACCACAACTACCAAACACGTGAAAAGGGATGACCAAAGCCCATTATAATTGAGGGCTTCTGGAGCACCAACCAAATGGGTGGTAGGAAAATTTAGATGCATGGCGAAACAATGGGTGTGTCAAAACTACTTAGGGCTGCGACAAGATACTAATGCAAAACCAAATGTAAGCAAGCAATTAAGCAATTTCAATCATACACCTCATGCGCCAACAACATATCCCATCAAATTCCAGAACCCAGGTTGCTGATTAAGCGACACTCTGATATAGAAGGTACACAAATAATTTTCTAGGTGGTTTATGATACAATGTATGCCAATAAGAAGATTGGCCGGAATTTCTATTAATCTTCTCTTTTGTTCTCTTTTTCATGCATGCCTATTGTGACATGTGAGGATTGATTTGAATGATAAACCCTAACTTGATACGAGTTTTAAGTAAACTCTTGTGCAATGAGGTCAATCGATTCAAGGTGTGGGAACATAGTTTGGGTAGTAGAAAGAGGCAAGATACAAGCTGTATGAGGGATCACGTTCTACAATCGTTGCTTGTTACTAAACAAACCAATTGGGCATATTTGAGGAATTCTTCTTTTCCTCGTGATAATGCAAGGGGACCTGTGTTATGATTATGTAGTAACTGTAGATTAATTCCAGAAGAACTTTCCCTATGTGGTGCTAGGATAATCCAAAAATGAGAACTTGAAACAGAATGAAGAAATCATACCACTTGACAAGCACAATCAAAGGGTAGATGAGAAAATTCTAATGAACTTCCCTCTTTTTGGGTTAAGAGTTGATTTATCCTTCTCGAGCACCAGTTCCCACTTCCCACAAGTACTACAGTCAGGAAAGATAGGGCCACCTCAGGATATCTGTTTAAACACTACTACCCACGATTAAACTATAATTAATGGTATCATGAAACAGAAAATTCTTCCACTGACAAAATAAAAATGTCATAAAAACTACTACAAAACATAGAAAAAGAATGTTGACAAGGCCCTCCATTACCTCTGTCTACACTCTAGTCCCACACAGAACGTCCACAAAACATCTCAAACACTCCTTTTCCTGCTTTTCTATCAACTTGCCAGAAAGCAGGTGATTTCCTCCTCCGAAAAATAACTACTGCCTCCTCTCTTTCTTCTCTGCCTAATTCTCCTTTCATCCATCCATGGATACTGCTCAATGGCCGCAGGTAGAGAGATCAAAATTGTTTTACTGCTACTTCCACTGAGCATCTTTATGATCTTACTTCCATGTATATTGTCTGTGTTGGTTTAGTCCTTGTAAAATAGTATGTGTTAAGCAACTCCTTTAATTGGATGGTAACAACTTTTCCAAAGGTTGATGTTTGATGATGGTGTTGAAAGATAGTGCAAAAGTCCCCACTTGTTCATCAAGTCCTTTCAAAGCTTTTGCTTGTTTTGCACTTTTCCTTTGCCTGATGAGAAAAGTTGAAACACAGGTTGAATCCCCCTATACTTACTGATCATATTTGTATCTTTGTGATTTTTGAAGTATAAAGCTCCTGACTCATATTGTATTCTTGTCTCCTGTTTGTATCTTCTTTCTTCTTACTCGAAAAAAAAAAAACTTTACTTGCTGTACTGATATGTTCATCTAATCAATCCTTGTAGTTGGAAATATTATACATGGTCGGATTCTTTACGTCTTTTTCTTCACTTTCCTGTTCTCTTTTTTCAGGAGATAATGGTGGAACCAATGGAAGAGATAGTAGTACCTAATGGTAGTACTACATCATGCTCAAAGCCCGGTTCTTCTCTAGAGAGGAAAGTTAGGCCTCAAAAAGAGCAAGCTTTGAACTGTCCGAGATGCAATTCAACCAACACCAAGTTCTGTTACTACAACAACTACAGTCTTTCGCAGCCAAGATACTTTTGCAAGACCTGTAGAAGATATTGGACTGAAGGTGGATCTTTGAGAAACATCCCGGTTGGAGGAGGTTCAAGAAAGAACAAAAGATCATCATCATCATCTTCTTCTTCATCAGTGTCATCATCGAAGAAGCTTCCTGATCTGATCCCACCATCCTCACATCAAAACCCTAAGATCCATGAGGGCCAAGATCTCAACTTGGGATTTTCATCCAGCCATGACTTCAAGACCATCACTGAGCTCATCCAAGTTCCCAACTTTGATAACAATAACAAGGAAAACTTGACTTCTTCCTCTAGCAATTCAACTACCACTTCATGTCACCTTTCAGCATTAGAGCTGTTGACTGGGATTACACCAATAAGGGGATTAAGTTCCTTCGTGCCAATGCCAATTACAACTGATCCCACTGTAGTCTATTCTTCTTCCGGAGGGTTTCAGCTGCCAGAATTTAAACCATCTCTAAGCTTTTCTTTGGATGGGCTGGGAAGTAGCGGGGGCTATGGGAACCTCCACGGTGTGCAAGAGTCAAGTGGGGGGAGGCCTTTATTTCCTTTTGAAGATCTGAAACAGGTTTCAGGCACTACTTCAACTGACGTCGATCAGCAAAATAGGGATCAGCATGCTGATTCAACTGGATATTGGACTGGAGTACTAGGAGGAGGGGGAGGATCTTGGTAATTAAAGAAGATGAAAGAGAGAGAGGAATCAGAACACCCCCCCCCCTTCCCTAGCTCCTCCTTTCACTTTTTTCTGGAAAATTTTGTTTGAATACTTTCGGGATTTTGGTTAAGTATCTATCTAGTGGTGGGTTGATTTCTCTGGAATTCTTCAAAGCTAACTCATACAATACAAGGGTTCTTTCTTTCTTTAGTCTCTCCTTGAATTTATCTCCTTACTGTTGAATGAGTGGTGGTGTGAATTTGGAGCTCATATTTAGGTTGGCTTCAGAGTTGAGACTAGTTCAATTAAGGTAACCTGCAAGATCATTGATGACAGATGACAAAGATGGAAAAGTTAGGCGGCCCAGATTTTAGAAGGGGCAAAATGTAGTGGGAAGCTGCATGCAAGGATGCCATTCATTGATGTCAGGAGTCTGCGAATATCTGATGCATCCAGCCAGGAAAAAAGGCAAAGGATACACAGTCAGTGTAAGATAGTCATTTTGCTTAATTCGCAAATAACACACTACTGTATAACTTGCAAGTTTGCATTAATTTCTGAATCTGTGGATTGAAGATATGGTTTGCTCTTCATTACTTTTATTTGTTCCGTGTTTGGCATGTATATTTGTTTAAACTTTCGGGAGCAAATATATGGGAGTTTCACACCTTTTCGTACTAACTATTCATCTTGGTTGGCATCTGTTGTACTGCTTGAATCGAAACTTCTGAAGTCCAAAGTTTATTAGTAGTACAATAATGTAATTTTAAATGTATCCATCCTTTAAGTAGTGCTACTGTTATTTAAGAGATATGAAACCATTGATTATTAATTCAACGGTTAATTTTGAGATCAAGAATTGGCAGTAGGAGTATTATTATTTCTTCACTTTAGCTGTAATTCATTTCAAAACTATGAAATTAATCCTCATTCTTCTACTTGTAGTACTGTAATCCGCAGTATACCAGCAGGTAAAAAGTTCACCTACTAGTATATAAGTTGCATATGTAAATCCCAAAAACAGTTTTGTCGGCAATGGTTATCTTACTTAGCTGGTAAGAATTTGAAATTGATACCAGTGAGTGCATTGGCCGCATTGAGATTGAGAAGTAAAAAAAAAGAAAAAAAAATGGTTGGAATGAATGGAGGATCATATTCATCGGTGTCTGTCGTCATATTCTCTTTCAACTTTGAAAGATTTAGAAAGATCCGACGAAGCCTACTTACTACTACTACTACTAACTCCCCACTTTTTCTCGACTCAGTCATGCGGCCAGCCCCCACAAACATTCCCCTCGGCCAGTGTGCAAGCGAATAATCATAGCCCCCTATTCTAATACTAACAACAATACTTTAATAATAACAATAATAGTAGTCTCTTTCCCACTTACTACTACTACTGCTGCTGCTACTTAATTACTACTTAATCCATCCACCGGATCTAATCTAATACTAATACAGTCAGACTCTCTAGTCTAAAA